TTTTTTTTTTTAAAGATGCCCCCGTCGGTGTTAGCGGTGCTGATAAGAGCAGACGCTGATAACACCTGGGGGGGAGCTCCATCTATTGGTGGGGAGCAACACCTGCTGGAAAACCGGTCCAGCGTGCCTCTATGCATTCTTAGTGTCTCACACATTCCATTCATCATCATTGGTGCAAACCCCTTAGTCCTTTCGGGGCCTTCCTACGCATACACACACTATTTCACATTCCGATCAACCGAAGTTTCAGTCCTTTCTTTCATTCCCACTCCAGATCTCATACACAAGGGTCTCTTTCATGGGTAGATTTTACACTAGGGGCTCCTTAGCCACTTTGCCCCTCTTCCCTCTTTCTTTGCCGCCCGGTTTCTCCCGGCCCGGTCTCGCTCAAGACATCCCAAGGCTTACTCACCTGCACAATCCCACACAAAGGCAAAGACTCATACAATCCCCCATTGGTGTCAACACACAGCCCTTCCCGTTGTCGAGCGCATCGGTCCCGCACGCGGACCCTCCCGGCCGCGTCACGCAGGATTTTGCAGGACATCGTCGTAGAGCGCGGTTCGCCACTCCGGCCGAGTGCGCCAGCCATACCTCTCGCGAGCCCCTACGAAAGACAGGGTCACGCGAGGCACCGCTTACCTCCACCTGCGGGAGTTGTCACCATCCCTTAGGTGGGCGTATCCCCGCCGAGCTACTGAACCACATGCGAAAACTTTCCGCATGCAATTGCAGAGGTGGCCCAGCCGAGGGCATTTCTCGTTCGCTGTAGCATAGGGGTTACGCGCGGTCAACGCCCAAAATCGAACTCACACGCGAATCGACGCACTGGGGGGCTAAGGTCCCAAACGTGACTCGACGTCGGTCGACTAGGACGCATCACACACACCACGCATTACACCACTTTAACGCAAATTTAAGCAACTCACGCACACACCCAAGCAAAAGAAAAACAAAAACACTCCCAGTCCCTTTGGTGTCCGACCCATAACTTTATGAGCCAGAATTCGGTTAGACGTCACGCGCAAGACTTAGTATAAAATTGCGGGGACGTAGGGTCAACTCATATCCACTCGCAATGCAAGGGTATGCAAGCGGTCGCAATGATGGCGTACCATATAGTAGCCATACTTATGTGATCCTCGTTGATCTCGAGGGTCGCGTTTGACACTCAAGTGTCGGCTGACACGCGCCTTGAGGTTTAGTCTCTCGACGCTAGACAACCACCACAGCGGTTGGTCTCCACACCCTCTTCTGCACCCTGCGGAGAGTGGGTGGTACACAGGTTCATGCTTGTGGTGGCAGTCAGCTTTCGTGGCCTAGGAGGCAAGCTCCATCATCCAGGGCCTGAGGAGAAATCAAGGGGTTTGACTTAAACGGCTGCCCCGGACTATAACGTCCAACTATAAAATTCTAAAAGCAAAAAATTATTTCACTAGGGCGAAAGGGAGTCTTATGTACTGATGGTTTTGACGAAGATTCTGTGAAACCTGTATTACAAGCTTATGTTTTTACTATTCTAATATGTATTTACCTAAATGACGCTTTAAATCTTCATTAACCACTTTCTCCCAAATCCAAAGTCCGAATCACCAAACATACCTGCAATCACATCAAAGTTTCAACCAAAAGTCCATGCACTGCACGGGGTCAACTTCAACCATTCTCTGCGCTCACACCCCTCGCTATAACCATACAAGCCTCTCTCTTTGCGCAACTCTCAAAATAAAATACTCAACATCTTTATTAAATGGCCATTCAATTAAAGTGGCCATTGGAGGCCGAGGGTGTGACGAGCAGCAGTGAGTCCGGGAAGGGGGAAGTCACTGCTGCAGTGGTCAACAAGGGAGGACCACGACCACCCGAAAAGAAGAAGAAACCACACTCGTTTCCTGAACATCCTGGGATTGCGGTCGGGAAGCCATGGGAGAAGATGGGTATATCACAGGAATTGTGGCAAGAAAGAATGAACAACGCGCAATGTTGGAAGTGTGGCATCGCGGGGCATGTGATTGCATGGTGCCCACAGATTCGATACCCAAAAGCGGGCAGCGAGTAGGAGTAACATCTGCTCCTACTGAGTCTAAGGGTTTGGACCAAGATGAAGGTAAGGCGCCTACTAACCCTTCCAACTCGCATGGCAGATGATGGTTCTTCTTCGGCCCATCGTCCGGAACACCCTGAACCTGTCTTACGTTCCATTTCTTTGGACGACTCTCTTGACGAGCTTGGTAACGAGTTGTTGGCACTGCGAAGCTCGTGGGCTAAGAAAGTTAAGTCTAAGGGTGACCTACTCGCGGATGTAGAGATTGCACGTACATGTGTAGGTGCACTATTGGACTCAGGATCCACGCGATCCTACATATCCGAGAAAGCAATCCGCAAATTGCATCTCAGAATGAAGGTGAAAAACCTGTCTAAACCTATCACGTTTGTTTTGGCTGACAAAAGCACGATCACTGTCTCACAGTATGTTGATTGTCTTAAGTGTTGGTTTCGAACAAGGGAAGGTAAGAAGATTTTGCATGAGGTATCCTTCCTGGTCGAAAAGAACCTGCCATTTGACTTGATTTTGGGAATGGATTGGCACGAGGAAGCCAACCCAGACATTAAGTTCAAAGAAAAGGTTGTGCAATTGCGAGACGCACAATCTGAATTGAAACCTATCAAACTGTTTCATAAGTCTGGGTCTGACTCTAGTCGCTCCTTTTGTTGTATGAGTTACCCAGCCTTTCGTTCAATGGTTTCAAAGAAAAAGTTGGAATAGGAAGCAATGGTGGTTCTAGTAAAAATAGCAGGAGAGTCTTCTACTTCCTATCCTCCTTCAACTGAAAAACTCCTTAGCGAGTATAAAGACTTATTTTCCGAACCGACAGGAAAACTTGAACGTGCTATCAAGCACACAATTGAAATTATTGTTGGCAGTAAGATTCCCAAGGGCCCTATCTATCGAATGTCTCCTAGGGAACTTGAGGAATTAAGAAAACAATTGCAGGACTTAACAAACAAAGGATGGATTCGCCCAAGCTCCTCTCCTTATGGTGCCCCTGTCTTATTTGTGCCCCAAAAGGAAGGTGAGTTGCGTCTCTGTATTGATTATAGAGGGCTAAATGCCGTCACTGTTAAGAATGTCGAACCTCTACCACGTATTGACGACTTGTTGGACCAGTTGCAGGGCTGCACGTTTTTCAGTAAGATTGATTTGAAGTCTGGATACCACCAAATCGAGGTGGAACCCGCGGATCAACATAAGACTGCATTCCGAACCAGGTATGGCCATTACGAGTTTGTGGTGATGCCCTTCGGACTGACTAATGCCCCCGTGACCTTTCAAAGGTCTATGAATTAACTCTTTCGTCAGTGGCTAGATAAGTCCATCATCGTCTATCTTGATGATATTCTAGTGTACAACAAGACACCATAAAATCATGAGAAGCACCTTCGTCTGGTGCTAGGGAAGTTGAGTGAGCGAAACTTCAGGATTAACCCAAAGAAGTCTGAGTTTGCTAAGTCCGAAGTGTTATACCTAGGACACATAGTAAACGAAGAAGGACTAAGGCCTGAAGAGAAAAAGATATCAGCAATTAGAGATTGGCCACAACCTAAGTCTATTACTGAACTGCGATCTTTCCTTGGTCTAGGTAGTTATTATAGGAAGTTTGTCAGAAACTTCTCACTGATCGCTGCACCAATGCGAAGATTGTTAAAGAAAGAAACTATCTGGTTGTGGGATAAGGATTGTGAGTCTTTCTTTCGAAAATTGAAATATGCCCTGACTCACTACCCCGTACTTAAGATTGCTGACCCGTCTTTGCCTTTCATTGTTACCACTGACGCAAGTCAGTATGGGATTGGTGTTGTTCTCTAGCAAGATGACGGCAAGAGCTACAGGCCCATAGAGTTTATGTCTGCACGACTGCCGTCAGAAAAGGTTGCCAATTCCACCTATGAAAGGGAGTTGTATGCCTTAGTCTATGCACTAAACACGTGGAAGCACTACTTATTAAGGAGGCACTTCACTGTGTATTCAGACCACGCTACTCTTAAGTGGATAAAGACACAACCTAGGCTCTCTGATAAGCTGGTACGATGGTCTGCATTTCTTGATACCTTCGATTTTGAATTAAGAACGATCAAAGGTAAGTCTAATGCGGTTTCAGATGCATTGTCCAGACGAAGTGATTTCTTTGGTGCAATTGTCTCCTATTTGGATGTTGGGAATGATCTGAAAGACCATATTCGCCAAGGATATGCTACTGATCCTATTTGGAAACCAATCATGGATATCCTTGTACGAGATCCGTCCCAACTACCCAACTATAGACTGATTGATGGATTGTTGTTCTTGATTGACCAAACCGAACAAAAACTGTGTATTCCTCATAAGGAAGAAATCAAAAGTCTGTTGATTGGGGAATGTCACGACTCTGAGGGACATTTTGATTTCAAGAAAACATATGCTGAAGTCAGAGAACGTTTCAAATGGAAGGGACTTAAAGAAGATGTACTAGCATATGTTCGTACATGTTTAGTGTGTCAGAGAAACAAGTCGTCGCACGAGAATCCTCTTGGACTTCTCAAGCCGTTACCTATACCAAGTGAACCAGGTGAGTCGATCTCAATTGATTTCAGGAGTCTGGTTAAAAGTCGCAATGGTAATACTCAAGTAATGGTAATTGTAGACCGTTTCTCTAAATACGCTATGTTTGTTCCCTTACCAGCGAATGTGCGGACTGAACTTGTCATTCAAAAATTTCAGATGCGATGGGTCACTGAATATGGGTTCCCTAAAACCATTGTGTCTGATCGAGATGTCAGGTTCACCAGTCTGCCATGGCAAAAGCTAATGGAAGCTTATGGCACACGCACCCTCAATAGAGGGTCTGTGTGAATGGGCCGCCATCCATGTTTGGTGGAATCATAGAGGGTCTGTGTGAATGGGCCGGATCATAATGGATGGCGGATCATAAAGCATGGTTGCTACCGACAATTTGGTTACATCCATGTTTCTTACCGAGTTTATATTCCCCCACACAGACCCTCTATGATTCCACCAAACATGGATGGCGGATCATAAAGCATGGTTACTTTTCTACGGGAGGACGTGGACGACCTCAAAAGTTGTTCAAGGTACGTTTTAAAACTCAAGCACCATCTGAGGACATGGTTTAGTAAACGAGAACTACTTGAAACTGCTCCTGATATTGTCGCTGCTTATGAACGAGGGTTAAGGTCTTAAATATTTCTGTGGTGGAACTTGAAAATGGGCCGGCAGGAATGCAGTAACCCTGTTTAGAAGTAGCCCGGGGCTCAGAACTCAGCCCCAGGAAACGCAAACCTGAGTTGGTCTGCACTGGGCTGTGTGACCAAGACATGCCCAGCCCTGAGTCTGTCGAGTGTGGCTGTGTGACCAAACGCTGCACACAGGAAATTCAAGAGTCAAAGTCAACTGTAGAGTCAAGGTACCGCACCCAGGCCCTTGGTTGGATACACTCACTTGTTGTGCGCAGGTACCCAGACAGCATCCAGGCCGGAGGGAATTCGGTTTCAGGCCAATCTGAGCCCTCATTTGCATTGAGATCTTGACGGCTGAGGAATACAGCATCCGGGGTCCAGACCCCGCGTCAACATTACATAAGAGCTGACTTCCTGGCTTTGACATTAATTCTATCTTGCGTTGATGCTGACTTCACGCATTGACTTCAACGCTGGCTCGACGCTGCGACGCTGGCTCGACGCTGCCATGCTGGCATTGTGACCTGGCGAGGCGCTGCTAGTCCGGCATGGTGGTCGGCTTGCTCCTGTCTTCTTGGCATGCTGACGTGGCAGCTGCCATGCATTATCGCTGATGTGGCTGCTGCCGCGTGTATCATTGCCTGACGTGGCTGCTGCCACGTGTTCTATGACTGGGACTAAGTAATCAACATTGCTGTTCTGTTTCGTCGTCACTTCAGGAGGAGAGCAGGACTGTGGAGAGTTCGAGGATACGTACCTGGTGGTCTTCATGTCGACATTGCTCCAGATGCTGATGTGGGACTGATTAGACGTGCCACGTGGCACATTGAGGATACTTCAGATACTCGTTCAGACTATTGATTATTGAGGTGGTCGTAGAGGAGGGAGCCCGAAGCAGGAGTGGGCATTGAACTTTCCTCTCCTTTGTCTCTTCTCCCTCCTCTCTTTTCGTCTGTGTATGATAACCTCATCTCATTCTGTCTGGTTACGATTTTGACTACTAGTAATCATCAGCAGATGGACATTTATCTGGGCTTGCATTGTTGACAACTGTCTTCACGATCTGGGTTCATTACAAGAGAGCAAAAAGGAAAAAATTTCAAAAGAACCAATCACACACACAACTTAAGGACATATCAGGGAAACTGTAACATCATAAATTAAAAATGCTCTGAAAAAAAATATAAAAATGCTCTGCTGACTATTCCCAAAATGAGGATTCGCAACACTTGTCAACATTTTAATGATTCTCTTGGACGCGCTTTCACGAGTCCTTTTGTGTGCAGGACCTTGGTTTCTGATGTAGAAAAAGAGAGCCAGGGCAGCACTACTGCTTTCAGAAATTCGTAGTTCAAAACAGCACTTACCGTGCCCGGAACTGGTGGCCACATGGCGTGAATGATCCCAAGTACGTGGTAACAGACCTGTCACAAGCACACATAGGGATCAGCAACAGGAAAAAGATCAGCCTGGAATACGGAGCAAATTAACATTCATCCGCAAGTTCACGACCAAGATAATACAGCTGCAAGAGCCATCTTATATTAAGAATGGCACAGTGTCCTGAAATGCTGCGCAGCAAGAGGCTGTCAGATTTGCCAGCAAGTTTGACAGAAAGAAACCGCAGACGAGCCATGATGGTATACAAACGCATTCCACAAAAGAGAGCGTCTGAATTGATACAAAGAAGAGATGGCAATACCGTGGCACTCCATTCTTAAGTTCTTTTAACGAAAACAAGAAGAGTCAGTGCTATACCGCCCCCGTGCGGAAAATAATATTGATGATGATCCAATTATTCGGAGAGAGGAGAACTGAGGCAGCAGAATTGAAACACATGAGCCACTGAAAAAGTTCAATTCATTGTGTTCCACAGCGAATGTATTCCCGAGACTTGCCTTGTACTGCAGAGGGCGAATCAGCAATGAAAAACAAAAAGGAAGGGTGTCCAGAACATGGAAAAAATTGAAAAGATAACGTGAAAGAGGACAAAGAAACAGAGAGCAGAACATGTGGAAACCTCAGGGCTGACCTGGTTCGTGATTGCTGTTCTATATGGTGCCGAGGCACTGACAGGAGCAAATGGCAAAGAGAAGCTGAATTTCTTTCTCTTTCTACTTGGTGCCAATATGACTTTGGGTGCGTTAAAAGGGGTATAGTTGGAATTGCAATCCGTGGGTCACAAGGTTGAAATATGAATGTGAATATCAGAACAGAAAAGTACGGAGAGAGAGAAGGGGGACGAGAGAGAGAGAGAGGGAGGGGGGAGAGAGAGAGAGAAAGAGAGAGAGAGTGTGGAATACCCAGTACCACACGGGCCCAGCAGGGCCCGACTAGGTTGACTAGGGGTCCGTAGGTGTAGGGCCTGTTTCGATTCAGCCCAAAAGCCTGAAAACGAGGGCCTACAGGCCCAGTTTCGTTTCAGCCCAAAAGCCTGAAAACGAGGGCCTACAGGCCCTGTGTCGTTTCAGCCTAAAAGCCTGAAAACGAGGGCCTACAGGCCCTGTGTCGTTTCAGCCTAAANGCCTACAGGCCCTGTGTCGTTTCAGCCTAAAAGCCTGAAAACGAGGGCCTACAGGCCCTGTGTCGTTTCAGCCTAAAAGCCTGAAAACGAGGGCCATTTTCAGGTCCTCATAAAGTCGACCTGCCCTGAAACTTGGGCACCAGACCAGGGTTTTAGCACAGGCCATTTTGGGCCTGTTTTCAAGACAACCTTTGTTTGAACTTCAATGCCAGCGTCTGGCACGTTTTGGCATTGGCAAGAGCAGCCTCCTGGACGGGCCAGCACTATATAAGACTGGCCCGCCCTACCGGCTGCAGGTGGTCAGGAGGCAGTTCATAGGAACTTCCCAGGCATTTCACGTGCACGAGGCAGGAGGAGTAGTAGCGTTAGCAGTAGTCTGGAGGAGCGCTGCAGGAGTAGTAGTAGCGTTAGCAGTAGTCTTCAGCGCTGGGCGCTAGGAACTTCCCAGGCATTTCACATGCAGGAGGCAGGAGGCAGTCTTCAGGATTCGGCAGCAGCATTCTGGAGGAGCACTGCAGGAGTAGTAGCGTTAGCAGTAGTCTTCAGCGCTGAGCGCTAGTAGGAACTACAGTAGCATTGGAGAGAGAGAGATGGTTGGCGGAGGCCAGGGAGACTTACCTATGGCGCCATAGCTACAGCTTCGTCTTCGATGTACCTGCAACAAGGCGCCACCTTCACAGGTTAGTACCGGACTAAGAGAGAGAGAGAGAGAGAGAGAGAGAGAGAGAGAGAGAGAGAGAGAGTTCTTCTTCTTCCTCTTCTAAGTCCACCATCTCTTCCTCACCCTTTCGCTACAATGTGGTCGTCTTTCGGTAAAGCGACCGGCCGTATGACTTCTTAGTATCTGCAGACTACGAGAGAGAGAGATTGGTGACTTTGGGACTTGACGACATTTGGATCCAGACTCGACATTGGGATTCAGACATTTGACGAGCGTCACTAAGGGCTCCAATCACTTCTAGGGACAAATGAACCCCACTCCTTAGGCAAATGCCCCCACGGACCATACAAACAGAATCTGCCAAGGTTTGCCAAGTGACCAGCTAGTCCAATGGATCCTTCTACCTTCCCTTCCAGAGATCTCATAATCAATGAAGAGGTTTGGCAGAAGAGGACGGGTGAAGGGGTTGCCTCATATGTGTAGGGAAACACTTTGTCCAGTTATAATCGGCTCCTGTCTCTAGTTATCATGCAAATGGGATGTTAGACACAGTTTCCAGCTCATACGGTTCCCCACCTATAGATCAAAGCCATCTACAAAAAAGGCCTACTATTTGAGGTCGCTCTCATCCCCTCCAATAAGAGCTCTTTGGCAGATGATTTACAAACAAAACAAACAAGAAACACTTCACCCAAAAGTGTCCCACATGGGGCAACAAACAATTCAAAAAATTGAATAGGCTAGCAGAGGCTGCAGCCACCCCTCTTGAACTGAATTCACCCGACTCTGAAGATGAATCAGGTTCTGAGCCTAAGTCTAGTCTGGCTGTAATTGAATCTTTGTTTATGTACATTGGGCCTTTTGTTGAGGAGTAGTGAATCTGATTTTTGTGCTATGGATGTTGGTTTGTGTTTTATGGCATTTTCACTATAAGAAAACCCAATTCCAGAGAGAATTGTTCATGGAACCATTATGGAAATCGTTTGGACTATTTTTCCTAGTATTATACTAATGTTCATTGCAATACCATCATTTGCTATATTATGTTCCATGGATGAGGTTGTAGATCCTGACATTACAATGATTGGACATCAATGGTATTGGACTTATGTGAGGAAGAACACGGTTAGCTTTGTTCTCGTCACCTTCAGCTGAACGAGAACACAAACATGAAGTCTGAATTGATCATGCTCAAGTCTCTCATCAACAGGACCCGTATTAAGACCTTCGACCGTGGGGCCACCCGACATTTCTTCGCATTACATAGAATTTAAAAACTCTATCAGGACTCAAGGTCACTAGAATTGAACATCCACTCGAGATCCAGGTGGGTAATCCCCAATCTGTCATCCAACAAGTTCTCAAAGGTGCTTTAGTCACATTTGATGCAAAGGGAGAGGTCATAACTTGAACTTTATATCTCCCCACGTTTACCCTTTGATCTAGTCCCAAGTCTGAAATGGCTAAGGGCCACTAATCCCAAACATCGACCGGACTTCAATGGTAATCCAGCTGAAGAATTCTGAAGGGAAGCTAAGAAAATGTGTATTATCAACATATTATCTCCCCAAGGCAACTTATTATTGCCCGCAGGCCAAGGATTCTATAACCCATCCTGACAAACTGATCACCAAAGTCTGATTATTGCTCATGTCACTCAAGACTGATGCATCCACCCCTATGTGTGATCGAGGTATACAGAGGCTTATTGATGACTATATTAACTTGGGTTAGGAGCCTACTAGACTTGTTCATAGGCAGGCCAAGCATCACATTGAGATCCTCCCTGACTCCACCATTCCTAAAGAAAGAGTATACAAGATGTCTCCTGCTGAGCTAGAAGAACGAAGAAAAAAAAAAAAGGTGTTGATTGAGAAGGGTTGGATTCTGCCAAGCTCATATAAGTATGGGGCACCATTCCTCTTTGTGCAAAAGAGGAATGAAAAACTTGGGATGTGCATAGACAACAAAGGCCTTAACAAGATCAACACAAAGAGCTATCAGCCCTTGCCTAGGATTGATGACCTATCGGGCATGGTGCAATGCTACAAGGTCTTCAGCAAAATCTATCGGAAGTCGGATTACCACCACATCGAAATAGCTAAGGACGTCCACGAGACAACCTTGAAGACCAGGTATGGTACTTATCACTACCTCGTCATGCCTTCCAAACGGAAAGGAATAGGATTTTCAAGTCGTTCCTTAATCGGTTTGTGCTTGTCTATCAAGAAGGCATCCTGGTATTGAACAAGAATGCAAAAAACTTTGTAGAACACTCAAAAAAGGTCCTATAAATCCTTAGAGAACAGAAGCATAACATTAATAAAGATGAGTCAGCCTTTGGGGTTCCTTTCGTCGTGTTCTTGGGTCATGTAATCTCTTTAGAGGTTCTGGCTCCCGAAACCTCTAAAGTTGCTGCTCTCAGGGAATGGCCCCAACCTCAAACAGCCCAAGATACAAGGTCATTCATAGGATTCGCTTCAACCCATAGGCAATTCATCAAGAACTTCTCTACAATCACCACTCCCTTGACTAAACTATTGGCTAAGGATGTCCCCATTAGATAAACTCCTCAGTGCCAACTCGCTTAGCCCTTACCTAGGCACCATGTTGAAACTACCTGACCCCACCTTGCCATTTGTGTCGACCAGAATGGTGTTTGTGTCGTTCTTCAATAAGATGATGGGACTGGCCTGAAGCCCGTCGAAGATTCTTCTTACTAGGCAGGCACTTCAAATTCTAGTCTGATCATTCCACTTTGCGGTGGAGGAAGACCCAGGGGAAATTAAATGAAAAGATGGGAAGGAACATGAAGTTCCTACACATGTTTGACTTCGAACTAAAGCACAAGAAGGGATGCTACCATGGCTACAGGGACCCAAACCCGAACATTTTTGGACATGGAACCGGACCCGTGTCCGGTTGTTTCCGAACGTCCGGAATTCCGAACATTTCCGAACATTTCCGGACCTCCGAACATGGGGGGATCCGGACGGTCCAGATGTCTAGACAGGTCCGGAAATGTCCGGACCATTACAAAAAAATAAAAATAAAAAAAATCTGAAAAAAAAGTCTGCTATGCAGAATAACAATGCAAACCACTTTTGCCTCAGAGTCATGTCAGAATTCCTAACCAAACTTGAGTTACAAGTCAAAAACTATAAAAAAGCTTTAAAAAAAACTTTAAAAACTAATAAATAAAAGGTAATGAGCATAAACGGGCCTGAAAAACCCCCAAAACAATTTTGGGGGCTTGGCTCCTCAATGGGGAAGGGTCCTGGACCGTTTTTTCTTTTTTTTTTCCCCCTCGAATTTTGGCAGATCCGGACCTTCCAGACCGGACGTCTGGAGTCCGGACTGAAATCCAGACCGTCGGGACGCCAGTCCCGACTTCCGGATCGTAGCCATGGATACTACAATAAAGTTGCAGATGCACTTTTTTGCAGTTGCTACCATTGTACATTCTTACTCCTTCACAGATTCCACAAGGGAGAACTAAAGCACAAGAAGGGATGCTACAATAAAGTTGCAGATGCACTCTTTGGCAGTTGCTACCATTGTACATTCTTACTCCTCCACGGATTCCACAAGGGAGGTCGTTGCAGATGTCACCCTGTCTTCGACCCTATTCTCACGAATCTGCAAACGGACCCTAGCTCTGAGGTAGGTTATACCCTGACGTTAAACCTGTTGTACTTTAGCAGCAAGGGAGAGGAACATTTGTCCATCCCTATTGACCGCAAAATCAGGGCTCAACTAATTGCGAAGAGTCATGATTCTTACGGGCATCTTGGGTTTATGAAGACTTCGGTGGCCTTGATCCCATGGTTCAATTGACCTATGTACTTGGACACTTGTGAGGTGGCTTTATGACAAAAAAACGCCTCTATCCTCTTCTCCACAGCACAATGGCAGGTCTTCACCAATCCACATGTTGGAATCTGGCACCTGTGTGCAGAAGTGTGCATCAGCTCTCCACCCATCCAGTTCTAAGAACTACAAGCCTACAAAGTCTATATTCTCCTCTAGAACACCCCTCCAGAATTTGCATCAAACATTTGCGCAACTTGCACAAAAGACTGGATGCTAGCACACACGTCTAAAGTTTGTCCTCCCTGCACTCAAGTTACCCTCAAACTAGAACTTTCTTGACTGACTTTGGGATGCAATTGCAGTGAGGTACATCCAGCATGAGTCGCAATTGTGGGAAAAGTTCAAAAATAAATCCAGGGAAGTCCTTGTGTGAGCATTCTCGCCGTAAGTGGAACCTCAGAACCTTTCAGTTTTATTTGCCGACAAGCACTACTGCACACACGCACTACCTCGCACATAACCGCACTTAAGCCCAGGCACGAGAGAAAGTAGGTACATAACATCCCATCCTCCACCAAATAGCGAACACAGTCCATTTAAGCAATTTACAGAGAGTCAGAGAGGGCATCACAACACCTGCTGTGCATTGCAGACATCATCTACTGCTGGCTTCATCTTGAGGACGATTCTGAGCTGCCACTCACCAACACACACACAACAACATAAGCACCAAGCTGCTACTTTCCTTTTCCCATTACTGAGTTTACTTGTAAACACTCCGTACTGTGGGGGCAGTGTCTATAACATGTTTTATGATAGGTAGAAAACACTTGGCCCGGGGAAAGGAGGCCATGCTCGTGATTTGGGTAGACTGACAATTGAGGTAGAAGGAGAAAGACGTGTGAGACAGCAGAAGCAAGACATACATTCCCAGCAGTGTTCATGCAACCATTACAGTGGTACTTGCAGGCACCCATCTCCCCCCCCCCCCCCCCCCCCC